TCACAACCCTTCACACACACTCTGTCCCCTCCAGACACAACTCCTCATACACATCCACTCACCACCCCTGGACACAACGTCTTGCACACACTCCCACACCCCCCAGACACCAGCCCTCTCTCTCTCACACACACACACAACTCCTCACGCATACACACATTACCCCAGACACACACCCTCTCACCCCCCAGACACACCCCTCACACACACATCCACCGCCAGGGCCACCCAACACCTCTGGAATCACAGGCAGCTCGGGTCCAGGCTCTGGTATTTTTGTGTCTCGGCCTCAGGGCGACAGCAGCGCGGTTTCAGTAAGCGGCAGGGGAGGGGAGAAACAGCAATCCCCTCCCCAACACATCACCTCCCCCCCACCCTTCCGCTGCACCCCCCCCCCCCCATCCCCCCCCCCTCCCTCTCCCTCCCTCCCTTCCTCCCCCCTCCTCCCTTCCTCCCCTCCCCTCCCCTCTTCTCCCCTCCCCTTCCCTCTTCTCCTCTTCGCTCCCTTGGCCCCTCTCTAAGCCCCTTCTGTGGTTTTTCACGGTCTTCCTCCACCGACCCTTCACCTGTCTCTCATGGCCGACCTCCACCTCTGTCTTGCCCCTCCCCCCAACCCTTTCTGTGTGCCCCACTAACCCCTGACTCCTTTATATGTGCCCCACTAACCCCCCACTCCCAGGGATGAAGTGCTTGACATATGAGAAACAATTGACCACTCTGAGACTGTACTCGATGAAATTTGGAAGGATGAGGGGAGATCTGGTTTAAACTTACAGAATACTGAGTAGCCTGGATAGAGTGGCCGTGGAGAAGATGTTTTCACTAGTAGGAAAGACTAGGACCTGAGGACACAGCCTCAGAGTGAAGGGTCAACTCTTTAGAACTGAGATGAGGAGGAATTTGTTCAGGCAGAGGTGAATCTGTGGAGGCCAAGCGTGTTTAAAATTAGATAGGTTCTTGATTGGTAAGAAGATCAAAGATTGCAGGGAGAAAGCAGGAGAATTGGGTTGAGAAACATATCAGATTGAATCGTGGAGTAGAGTAACTGGGCCAAATGGCCAAAAGACAGACAAGAGCAAATCAAATAAAGAAATAACTCTGAAGAATGAAACTGCATTTATTTCAATGCAAGGTGCCTTACAGGTAAGGTTGATAAACTCAGGGCATGTTTGGGAATATAGGATTGGGACTTCATAGCTATTACAGAAACTTGGCTGAGGTAGGACAGGAATGGCAGCTCAATGTTCCAGGTTTTACATGCTAAAGGAAGGATAGAAAGGGAGGCAAGAGAGGAGGGGGAGTGGCATTACTGCTGTAACTAGCAAAGATATTTCAAAAAAATCCAGTGAAAATATAGGGGTTGAAATTAGAAATAACAAAGGAAAGATCACCATGATGGGGTTGTACTACAGGCCCCCAAATAATTAGAGGGAAATTGAAGAAGAAATATGTAGAGAGATCTCAGATATATGTAAGAATAAGGTTGTAATAATAGGTGATTTTAATTTTCCAAACATTTACTGGGACTACTATAATTTTAAAGGTTTGGATTGTGAAGAATTCATTAAATGTCGGCAATAAAATTTTCTTTACCAATATGTAAATGTTCCTGCCTCCAAGCTGATGTTTCACTGCCTCCAAACTGATAGTCCCCCAGCCCTGCACAACTCGCTTCTACCTCCTTCCAAAAAAACCACAAACAGGACTGTCCAAGCAGACCTATTGTTTCAGCCTGCCCCTGCTTCATTGAACTCATCTCTTCCTACCTTGACTCAGCCCTCTCTCCCCTGGTCTGGTCCCTGCCCATGTACATCTGTGATTCCTTTGATGCTTTACGCCATTTTCAAAATTTCCAATTTGCAGGATCACGGAGTCAGACTCACAGGTCTCTAGTGTCCACGCTTCTCCTTCTATCCCTTCTTAAACAAAGGCATAACATTAGCCAGTTGTCCAGCACTTCACCCATAGTTATAGATGAAGCAAATATGTCTGCCAAGGGCCTCGCAATTTCCTCCCTAGCTTCCCACAATGTTCAGGGATACACTAGATTGGTCTCAGCGATTTATCTACCTTTATATTTTCTAAGACCTCGAGCACTTACTTTTCTGTAGTGTGAACTGTTTTCAAAATATCAGTATTTCCAAGTTCTCTAGCTTCCATTTCTTTCTCCACAGTTAAAAGGGATGCAAAATATTCAATTAATACCTCTCCCATCTCCTGAGTTTCAATACAAAGATGACCTCTTTGAACTTCAAGAGGCCTACTCTCTCTCTTTAGTTGCTCTCTTGCTCTTAACGTACATGTAGAATCTCTTTGGATTATCCTTATCTACTAAGGTCATCTCATATATCCTCTTTGCCTTCCTGATCTCCCTCTTAAAAATGCTCCTTATCTTTTTATACTGCTCAAGAGATTAATTTGAATCCAATTGTCTATATCTATGATTCTTTTTTATTCTTGACTAGAATCACAATATCTTTATTCATAATAAAAACCAAAAGAACTGTGGATCTGTAAATCAGGAACAAAAACAAAGTTGCTGGAAAAGCTCAGCAGGTCTGACACCATCTGTGAAGAAAAAATCTGAGTTAATGCTTCAGGTCCGGTGACCCTTCTTCATTTCTCTCTCTAGTTGCTCTCTTGCTCTTAACATACATGTAGAATCTCTTTGGATTATCGTTATCTACTAAGACTATTTCAAATCCCCTCTTTGCCTTCCGGATCTCCTTCTTAAGAATGCTCCTACACTCTTTATACTGAGGAACAGTCACCAGACCCGAAAGGTTAACTCTGATTTTTTCTTCACGTGTGCTGCCAGACCTGCTGAATTTTTCCAGCAACTTTGTTTTTGTTCATCTTTATTCATCCGTTGTTCCCTCATACAATCAGCCTTACCTTTCACTCTAACATAATGACTCTGAACTCTCGTTATCACACTTTTGAAAACCTTCCACTTACCAGACATGGTAAGTTTTGCAATAACATTGCAAAAATGTTATTACACGCCACTGGAGCAGGTCATATTTGAGCCTTGTGCTTCCCGGCTCAGATTTAGGATGCTACCACTGTGTCACAAGAGCCCAAACATAATAAACCAATCAACCCATCAATTGCACACTGGATGATAGGCAGGAGGAGGTTTCAGGGAGAGGGATTTCAGGCCTGGTGGAAGTTATAGAGGGGTGTGGGTGCTGGAGGAGGTTACAGAGATGGGGAGGAATGTGGGTGCTGAAGGAGGTTTCAGAGATTCGGAGCTTTGTCGAGGGTGGAGGAGGTTACAGAGTTAGGGAAGGTTGTTGGGGTTGGAGGAGATTAGAGATTTAGGAAAGGTTTTGTGGGTCTGGGGAAGGTTTCAGAGATAGAGGTTACAGGAGGAGGTTACAGAGATAAGATTGTACAGATTAGAGGAGATTAGAGATGGGGAGGACTGGAGGAGGTTTCAGCGAGGGTTACCAAGATGGAGATACTACTTTGTTTACAATATAACCATTGTGCATGATATAATGTAAGCCAGTGGCTCTCTTCCAACTTTTGCATACACAGTGACAAAGTGGATGGAGGAATTGGATTATGTGGAGTGATTATTTAAATTGGATACATTCTCACAGGAAGAGTGAAGATTGACAGATGATACAACTATAGATTTGAAAGGGATAATGTTAGTTATAACAAGCTATCTAACTTCATCCAGAGTAGTAAAACCAGATAATGCAAACTGTACTTGAAGGAGAGATATTCTAAATTAAACTGGGCCAATAATATCACATTAAAAGTGTCTTCAATCTGTGGAGCAGGTTCTTTTGGAACACAGTAGAAGTAGTTATATCGATTTATTCATTTTATGGATTTCTTTCGGGCAGTGTAGAAGGAGCATCTAACACCTTGCTGTACCTGCCGTGGGAGTGTTTGATGGAAACAGTGTCAAGGGAGTATTTCTTTCAGTTTAAAAGAGTCGAGAGAGCTTTACTCTGTCTAACCGCATCGTGTCCCCGTCAGAGTGTATGATGTGGATAGCGTAGATGGATCTTTACTCTGTATTAAACCCCATGTTGTGGTAGTCCTGAGAGTGTTTGATGGGGACAATGTTGAGTGGTTTTATTTTTAGTTTAGAAGAGTAGTGGGAGCTTTACTTTCAGTTTAAAAGAGCAAAGGAAGCTTTTCTTGTATCTAACCCCTCATCTTCATGAGGCTGATATTTACATACTTTTAAAGAGTTAATACCTTTAGCAGAGTTAAACAAAACAAAGAAAGCTATATCTAACAAAATATGTGACTTAGTTGTCCATGCTGCTTCATTCTTTATTTTGTTTCTAATATTTCAGTTCATGTGCTGAAGCAGTTCAGATAAGCTTGAATAGAGAACACAGTTATGTTTAAGTCTCCATCCAGACGTGGCCGCCAGCCTTACTTAGAACCACAAGAGGCAAAAAGACGGCGTTTGGAACGGTACCGTTTGCGGAGGAAGCAGATGGTTAATATCGGCACAGAGATTGATCGCTGGCAGCAATTGAAATCGGAATTGGGTTTTGACAAAGATACTTGTTTGGCTAAATTCCTCTTAGATTATTACAGGTCTCATATTCATTCATGTATTGTTTCTGTATCGTCTGTCAACATCACCAAATGTTTATGAAGCATGAAGTAAATGGAACAAGACAAATATTTTTAAAAATGAACTCATCTTTTTATCTCTGTAGGTCCCATCATGTTTCCACAACATTACTTTCAGATCCAAAAGCAAGGAGAGAGCTTGTTCACCACAAAAGTTAGTAATTACAAATACATATATCGATTGACTTGTGTCCTGCTTGCTGTTTAAACCTTCCCAGTGCTGAATCTTTACATATTCACTGTATGTGGCCATTGCTGGCTGGGCTAGCATTTTGTTACCCATCCCTAACTGCTGTTGAGAAGGTAGAGTCTACAGGTGTGAGGGTGGAAAAGCACAGCAGGTCAGACAGCATTAGAGGAGCAGGGAAGTCAACGTTTTGGGGCAAAACCCTTCGTCAGGACTGATGTTGAGAAGGTGATGGTGAGCTGCCTTCTTGAACTACTGCAGTCCTTTGTTATAGGTAGACCCACAAAGCTGTTAAGGAAGATTTCCAGGATATTGACCCAACAACACTGAAGCAGCAGCAATATATTTCCCAGTGAGGATGGTGTGTGGCTTGGAGGGGAACCTGCAGGTAGTGGTGTTCCCACGTATCTGCTGCCCTGTCCTTCTACAGTGTCTGTAGGTTTGGGTGGTACTGTTGAAGAACCATCTATGATTTGCTGCTGTGCATCTCATGATTCTTGCACGCGAAGGAGTTAATGTTGAAGGTAGTGGAAAATGTTATCTGTGAGCTGTGCAGCACTGAGAGGTTCTTCACACACCGATCAGCATGCCACCGCATTGTTTTCTAACGTGGAAGCTGCTGCACGTGGACCTCAGAGGTCTGGCAACGGAAAAAAAAGTAATGTCGGTGGTAGATAGGATGCCAATCTAATGGCTGCTTTGTCCTGGATGGTACTGAGTTTCTTGAGTATTATCAGAACTACACTCAACCAGGCAAGTGGTAAATATTCTGTCACAATCCTGACTTGTGCCTTGTAAATGCTGGAAGTCTTGTTGCTGAATCCAAACCAGTAGCAAACAGTCTTTAGCAAAAACATAGTGTTGGAAAAGCTCAGCAGGTTTAGCAGGATCAGTGGGAAGAGAAACAGTTAATGCTTTGAGTTCAAAATGACTATTCTTTGGAACTGAAGACTAAGGTGAACATGTCCAGAAGAAGAGTCATTTTGGACTCGAAGCATTAAATCTATCTCTCAATGAAGGACACTAGGCACTGAGAATACCAAGATAGAGGTAGGTACAGTAGACCAATTAGTATTGTTTCATACAGAAAGTTGTGTATGTTGGGTCCATCTTTCAAATAATTATCAAATAATTATCCACAGAGTAATGAGTGCACTTTCATCAAATGGATTGTTTAAACAAATTAATATATAAATTCTAACTGCACATAAACACACGATCTTATATTTTTCTAGGGAAAGATGAAAGCAGTAATGCATCATCTACATCCTCCTTGGAAAATCAAAGTGAACAATGTGTCCGATCTTCACTGATGATTACATTTCCTCAAAGAACTCCTTTACAATTGTCAGCTGTTGGGTATGTTTCTCAATAAATCATAGTGGATATTAATACTCAAAACATATTGAATATTGATTTGTGTGCAATATTGGCAAAAATTTATTTTAGCATTGCTGCTTCATCATGCGTGAGTGCAATGGAACATAACTATTTATGTTGGAACATTGACTGTCATCTTTATGTTTCTACCCCCAAAGATTTTTCTCCCTCTCTCAAGCCGCTGCCTTTTCTAACTGTGGCTCTGTGGATAACATTCTCTGTCTTGCCACTGAGTCAGAAGATTATGGTTTCAAGTCCTGTTCCAGAGACCTGATCACAGAATCCTAGGCTGAAATCTCCAGTGCTAAACTGAGGGTGCTGCATGGTTGGTGATACTGCTGTCTTGTGGTTGAAAAGTCAAACTGAGGCTCTTTCTGCTTCCTCAGATGCACGTAAAGATCCCACAGCCACTATCTTGAAGTAGCAAAGTGGAGTCTCATTAATGTCCTTAGCCAATATTTGCCACTCAGCATAATTGAAACATACTGTGTGGCCATTATCTCGTTGCTGTTTGTGGGAGCTTGCTGGCTACAGAATGGTTGCTATGTTTGCTACACTGCAACAGTGCTTACACTTTAGATAGCATTTAATTGAGTGCAAGGTGGTTTGTGAGGTCCTGAAATCATAAACGGCATTGAAGAAATGCAAGTTCGTTCTTTGTTTCCCTTAATGCTGATGGTCAATCAACCACACAATTAAACAGAAATCGATGGAGAAACTCAGCAGGTCATGGAATCCCTACAGTGCAGATAGAAGCCATTCAGCCCATTGGGTCTGCAACAACCCTCCAAAGAGCATCCCACCCAGACCCACATTTACCATGGCAATCCACCTAGCGTGCACATCCCTGGACTCTACAGGGCAATTTAGCATGGTCAATCCACCTAAACTGCACATCTTTGGACTGTGATCTGGTAACATCTATGGAAAGAAAACAGAGTTAGTGTTTTGAGTCCAGTGACCCTTGTTTAGAACCTCTTCAGTCAACAAGACATGTCTGGCTCTCTGTCTGTCTGTCTCTCTCTTTCTCTCTCTCACTCTGTGTCTCTCTCTGGATGTTCTTTGTGAGTGTCTAGGTTTTTTAAGTGAAAGCAAGCTGTGGTACCATGCTTAGTGAGATCCAGCTGGTAGCTGTCCTTCAAGATTATGCATGCTCATACTTTTCTGCGTAAAGCTCGCCACTGTTCAGAAGCACCACATGTGTTTGGTTTTCTTCATCCCTAGCCAAAATGTTGATGCTGTTAGCAGAGTCAACTGTTACATGGGCCTTGTTCATTTGATTAAGCATTGGATGGAAATCTCATCTTCAGTTCTGCGTGGTGTCACGTAGAGACTAATAATTTTTAAAAGAGAATCAAATTTACAGTTAATCACTGAAAGAGGTAACTCAAGATTGCGTGTTTTAAGATTTTTATTATAACTAATGACTCTGCATTATTTATGGAGGCAGAGAGCATGGTGAGGTACTGGATGAATACTTTACGTTTGTCTTTACCAAGAAGGAAGTTTCAACGCAGGCTGTGATGAAAGATGACATAGTTCAGACAATGGAAAGATTTAAAATTGATAAGGAGGAGATATTGGACAGGGTGTCTGTGCTTAAAGTTGACAAGGCACTAGGACTGGAAGTTGGTATCCTACTAACCAGGCCCTCTACTCCCTACTCATCTGTTATCTCTCCCCAGCATCCTGCTTACCTAGCACCCTACCTCTTACTCATTTGGCATCCTATCATTTGGCATCAGGCACCCTACCTGTCAGGCATCCTACCTACCTCTGGCTCCTTACCCCTTCCTCGCTGGCACCATACCTTGCTGATACTCTGCTATCCCAGCACCCTACCCTTCCCCAGCTGGCACCGTAGCATCACACCTGCCTGTTGCACTTGTACTTTGACAGCAGTGTCAAAGTGGCTGTCAGGACCTTTACATTTCAGAATATGGTAGCTGACTGCTGTGAAAAGGGGCCATGGTTTGCCCTCCTCAGACAGTTTTATACTACAAAAAACTGTCAGAATGGATGTACAGCTCTACATTTCTGAGGAAGCCCTGAGTGGAATCTCCCTTCTTTTGTAAAAGAAGAAGTAGCAATCTGCATGAGTATGTGAGAATCTTCCAATTTTGTCAGTAGACCTCGGATGTTAGCAAGGAGGACTTTACAATGTCTACGCTGTCTGCTGATGTCACTTCTGATGCTTTAGTCCACCCAGTTTCATTCCTTTTTGAGGCCTTCTAGCAGTTGATAGAACTGAATGGCTTGCTAGGCCATTTAAGAGGGCAGTTCTCAAGTCACGTAGGCCACACCAGATAAGGACGGCACATTTCCTTCCCTAATGGACATGAGTGAATTTATGACAATGGACAATGGTTTGATGGTCATCATTAGACTCGTAATCCAGATCTTTATTGAATTCAAAGTCCACCATGTGCAATGGTAAGATTCAAACCTCAGTCTCCAGAACATTAGGATGATCTCTGGATTCACTACACTGTTACCACCTGAGATAACAAGATGTAGAGCTGGATGAACACAGCAGGCCAAGCAGCATCAGAGGAGCAGGAAAGCTGACGTTTCGGGTCAAGACCCTTCTTCAGAAATGGGGGAGGGGAAGGGTATTCTGAAATAAATAGGGAGAGAGGGGAAGGTGGATAGAAGATGGATAAAGGAGAAAATAGGTGGAGAGGAGACAGACAGGTCAAAGAGGCGGGGTTGGAGCCAGTAAAGGTGAATGTAGGTGGGGAGTTAGGGATGGGATAGGTTGGTCCAGGAAGACAGGTCAAGGAGGCAGGATGAGGTTAGTGGGTAGGAGATGGGGGGGTGCTTGAGGTGGGAGGAATGGTTAGGGAGGTGGGGACGAGCTGGACTGATTTTGGGATGCGGTCGGGGGAGGGGAGATTTTGAAGCTTGTGAAGTCCACGTTGATGATTCTCCAGCATCGGCAGTTCCTACTATCACTGTTATCACCTGCATTTGTTATTCTAGATCCTCAGAGTTTATTATTTACAGTTACCAATTATTTTATGAATGCGTTCTGATTCACTTTCCAATGTTTAATTCTCTACTACATTTTTTTTTGTTTCTTAATGGTCCACTTTTCTCTCCCCTTCCTTCAAAAATTGTCGTCTGATGCTGTATTTCAATCCCTATGACATCAGTAAGCTCAGAGTATTGGCCTAATTGTAGAGGACCTCACAGCTGAGACAGACCCAGTCCTCATCTGATTCCCACAACTGTCTCAGTTCTACAGATTGTGATGTGAAACAGGAACCATGACAGATCTCCTACTGCTCCAGATTCAATCGCACATCTGGAGTTAAACCTGGGACCTTCTGCTGTATTTTGCTACCAAGTTAGGAAGTGTGTTTACTCGGAGTTACAGTATTAATTTATTATTTATCCATTCATGGGATGAGGACATAATTGGCTGGGCCAGCATTTATAGTCCATTCATAATTGCTCTTCAGAAGGTGGTGGTGAACTGCTTTGTCATATTACTGATGTCCATGTGGTGTAGGTACATCCATAAGACTGTTCTGGAGGGAGTTTCATGATATTGATCCAGTAGTGGTGAGGTAATGGATATAGCTGCAAGTCAGGATGATGTGTGGCTCAGAGACAAACTTGTAAGCGCTGGTGTTTCCATGCATCTGCCACCCTTGTCTTGCCAGCTGGTGGCAATCGTTGGTTTGGAAATTGCTGTCAAAGGAGCTTTAGTGGTTTGTTGTTGTGCATCTTGTGGATGGTGCACATTGTTTTCACTTTGCCTATTTGAAACCCAAGGCTGTTAGTCAATAATGCAAATGTACAACATCTTTAGCATGGTAAAACATTCCATATCCATCACAGGAGCATTGTTAAACTAAAATTCATACCAAATCACATAGGATCTGTTTGCAACAATGAACAAAAGTGAATCACAGAATTGTTACAGCTCAGATGGAGGCCATTCAGCCCACTGTGCCTGCACCAAGAAAATCAGGAATGTGCAAAGGGCAGAAATACTAAAAGGTTAACCATTTGGAGAAGGTCACAGAAAGAGGTGCAGGACCATTGAGGATTTGAAAAATAAGAAGAATCTTTTAAATTGAGACATTGACTGAACAGGAGCAGTGTATCTCAGTGAACACAGAAAAAGCGAGGTAAATGGATTTTGTGCGAGTGAAAATGAACATTAGCACCCTACTAGAATCAAGGCTGATGTTGACTGGGGTTAGCATTCCTTGCATATTTTCATATACTATGAGGTATATTCCTTTTTACAGTTTATCCACTGTTGATAGTGACACAGACATGGAACATGATAAAGACAGTATGGAGTTTGTCGAAGATTCTGTAGATGTGACTGAATATCTTCTGCCAGACAAGTAGGTATATTTATACTTACTTATTTACTTCAAATCATTCGTGTTGTGTAAGGATCCCTGCGAAGGACATTTATTATCCATCCTTATTCCAGGCTCACAGGAACATGCAATCTATCTTTGTTAACATCTGCAGAAAATACTGGAAATGTTCAACAGGCCAGATATCATCTGTGGAAGAATACGTAGCATTTATATCTGTATTAAATAATATTCAGAGGCCATTTCCAGATCATCAAATACAAACACTAACTGTGTATTGACACACACACACAAATACCCACCTATATGCATCCCCACCCCCACACACACCCACACCCATGGCATTGCTCACATTGGGTCTGAAATTTCTATGGAATGACCCGGAATACAGAATATTTTAGAATACACTTAAAACAATGCATTTACCAAGAGCAGAAAATCTAAAATCTGTTAATTGAACGTCAACTGAGGTCACTTAAAGTCTTAACTCCTGGTTTTCTTTAAAATGTGTCAACTGGTAAGTGATGCAAAATGTACATTATAAAATCAAGCTTAATAAGTCAGTGTTGGTGTTTATACATCACACTGGTGTCCACTCACTCGTGTTCATCTAACCTTAAAACAATAATATGTAGGACCACAAGTAGGCTCATCAAATCTTCTCTAGCATTCAAAGAGAACATGGCAGATTTCAGTTCCACTTTCTTGCCTTTTTTGCCATAATTTCTTGATGCCTTCGCTGGAAGGTTGTAAAAATCTATCTACCTTGAATATATCATATGACCCAGCCTCAAAAGCCCTCTGCAGTAAAGAATTCCATGGATTGAATACTTTCTGGCAGAAGACAGTCTTCATCTTTGTCTTAAATGGATAACCCCTTATTCTGAGATGATGCCCTCTGGTCAGATACTTCCACAAGGGGAAACAACTTTTTATCCTGTGAAGCCCCCCTAAGAATCTTGAATTTTTCAAAAGGCTTCCTCTCATTCTTCTAAATTCCATTGGGTACAGGCAGAGCTTACTTCTCATAACTGGGTATCGAGGGACTGTTATCAGCCTAATGAACCTCCTCTGGACTTCCTCCAATGCCAGTACAGCCAGTCCCTGGTTTGCAAATGGGTTCTGTTCCTGAGTTAATTTGCAAGTGGATTTGTATGCAAGTCGGAACACAATGCAGGATAATGTAAAGCAGCTGTTTGTAAGTGCCAAAGATATTTAAAGCTACACACCTGCATTTGTACGTATGGGCTTTCATAAGTTGGATGTCTTTAAATTGGGGACCCCCTGCCCCGTTTATCTTCCCTTAGGTAAAGGGCCCAAAACTGTTCTCAGTATTTCAGCTGTGATCTGGCTAGTATCTTACTTGTGTTAGTAAAACCTCTGCTTGTATTAATAAAACATTGCTCTGCAGACTCTGTGTCATCCTCATAATTTACCTTCCAACCTACTTTTGTATCACCTGCAAACATGATAGTGCATTCACATCTCTCAACAAAGTCATTAATGCGTGTGTATATATACAGTGGCCCTAGCACTGATCCCCGTGGCACTCCATTAGTTAGCGATTGTCACCCTGAAAATGCCCCCCTTATCCCAACTCTGTCTTCTATTATTTAGCCAATTCTCTATCAATCCTGATATACTACCTCCAACACCATTGTAGCCAAATGTGTTCTACCTTAGCAAACACCTTCTGAAAATCCAAATATATTATATCCTCTGCTTCCCCTTTATCTAACCAACTTATTACTTTTTGAAAGAATTCTAGTAAATCTGTTAGGCAAGATTTCCCCTTCACTGCTGCCACGGAGCTGGCGATCCCAAAATCTTGCCCCGTGACCTCACATGGATGGTTACAATCCAGAGTTTGAAAATCCCTGATCAATACAAATCTTTTCAATCGTATATGGTAGCAAGTTTAAAATTCTGCACCAATCTCTTGTTGAAGGTTCTCAATTTCTTGTTGCATTTATTAATGACTATTTTTCTCCCCAACTCTTACTCTTTATATATATATTAGACATGTGAATTATACTTGTAAATAATATTTCTGATTTCTGAACAGCTGCATAAGTTCTAAGCTGATGGACTGCACAGTTGAAGAAGAGGTCTTAAATATCATTAACAACGAAGTAGTGTCTGGGGAGGAAGAATCTATCCAAGTTCCAGTGGCTTCGACACCTGACAAGAGCATATGTAGCATGAGGACTGGTATTGTCTACGATACATGTCTTATGTCCCTCGCTAAGAAAGCATTTTCAAGGTGTGAGCATCTCAACTGCAATGGTAAAATAGATTTGGAACTGCAAATTGTAGCAACAGCAATGAAAGTTGTGAGCCATTGCTGTCATGGACACACATCCATCTGGTGGTCGCAGCCATTGCTCAAAGGTGCCCCTGCTGGCAATATTCTGCTGGTGTCAAGCATAGTTTTATCAGGGAATAATTATCGGAAAATTGCTCTGATGTTCAAATTCCTTAATATGTGTCCAGTCAGTTATCAGTCATTCTTTAAGACTCAAAAGTCATACGTTCAGCCATCAGTGACAAATTTCTGGAAGAAGATGCAGGGGAAACATTTTCTGGAGCTCACACATCCCCTTGTGGTGTTGGGGGATCAAAGCAACAACAGCTGTGTCTCTTCAGAAAGATACCTCACTTACACAATGATGGACAATTGCACTCACAAGATCCTTGATGTTCAAGTGATTGATGCCAGAGAAGGAGCCAGGAGACTGAGAAATTTGGAAACCTCTGGGTTCCAACGTGCCTTCCAGTGCTTGGTGAAGAATAATCTCTATGTTTCTGAGATAGTTACAGATGCAGATTCTCAGCTTTTGTCAATGATGAGTACGTGTTCATGATGGTGAGAGAAAATAAGAAGGAATGATCTGTTCAGTTGCCTCATTTGATTCTCCATCCTTGGTCTGACAAAGTAAAACTCTGCCCTAAGCTTACTCCTGGTATAGCTTTAAATTCTCCAGTTTCCCTCCTATCTCTCCTCATAATCTCTCTCAGCTCACTGTCCAAAAGAACCTGGTTACTCAACCCCATTCCCACTAAACTGCAACCACATAACTTCACTTGGTCCGAAAAAACCTCCCCTCAACCTCTCTTACTGCATAGCAAATAACCACAGCTTCTCCAACCTAACCATGTAGCTGAAATTCCTTATCCCTGCTACCATTTTGGTAAATCTCTGCACCCTCTCAAGAATTCTCACATTTTTCCTCAAGTGGGCTGACAAATACTAGACACAATATTCATCACTTATCTGCCACTTTGTTGTCAGGCTGCTTGTTCGATATCCAGTCTTTGAGGCACTGCAGTTTGCTCCAGCTAAACATTGGACAGACAAACCCCTGTGGCACATATCTGAGGGAAGAGTGTGGGGTTAGAGACAATATTGAGCTGCCATTTCCCTTACTGAAGAACAGTTCACAAGTGCTATTCATACTCCAGCGCTTTGCTTAAGTGATCTTTCTTCAACAAGATTAATTTGCAGTTAAAGCAGTATATAGTCCCAAAGCATTTCACAGGAGCATTAGCAGGCAATAATGGTCAGCATGCCTCCTAAAGACATGTTAGGACAGATGTTCATAAAATTGGCAGGTTTTGTAATGGTATCCGCTAATTGTGGTTTTATGCTTTTCTCTATTTCTGTTTAGAGTCAAAATATCCAAATATTCTTCACCAGTTAGATCTTTGGCATGGGATCAGAGCTGTCCACGAGAGGATAAGCAAGGTAATTTGATTTGAACCAATATTCATCTCTTTGGTCACGCAAGGATTAGCATCAAGCCTGTCAGTCTTGATCTGTCAGTTAGCATCATAGAAATGATGCTTCACAGAAGGGGGTCATTTGCTCCATCTTGTCCGTGTTAACCCAAAGACACCCAGACGACTTTTAATTCCATCTTCCTGGATACAGCCCGTAGCCCTGCAGCTTTCAACACTTAAGGCACAGATCCAGGTACTGTTTCAAAGAATTTAGAATCTCTGCCTCCACCACTAATCAGACAGTGAATTCCAGACACCCACCATCCTCTGCGTAAAAAATATTTTTGCTCCTGTTGACTCTATCTCCAGCCCTCTCAATTTTGTATATCTCAATCAAGGGCAGCACAATGCATCACAGTGCCAGGAACCCAGGTTCAATTGCAGCCTCAGGCAGTTGTCTGTGTGAAATTTGCCCATTCTCCCCGTGTCTGCATGGCTTTCCTCCGGGTGCTGCAGTTTCCTTCCACCAAAGATGTGCAGGTTAGGTGGATTGGCCGTGGTAAATGAAGGGTTACGGAGATAGAGTAGGAGGTGGGTCTGGGTGGGATGCTGTTTGGAGGGTGGGTGTTGACTCAAGGGCTGAATGGCCTGCTTCCACACTGTAGGGATTCTATGACTCTGTCACCGCTCAGACTTCTCTGTTCCAAGGAAAACAACCCCATCCTCTCCAATCTCTCCTCATAACTACAATTCTTTCTAGTAAATCTTCTCTGCGCTCCTTCCAGAGCGATTACGTCCTTCTGTAAGTTAGATCATAGTTGATCTGTTCCTTGATTGCATTTACCTTCCTTCGCTCCTTATTCCTTGATAGCCTTATTTAAGTCATGAAAACAATGTTTGTGTCCTAGCATACACACTCTTTTGAGGCAGAGTGTTCCAGACTTCATTATTTTCTGTATGAAAAATTCCTTGTAAAAAAGAGCTTCATCCTGAAAGGCCTGACATTATTTGTAAGATTTCAACTGGACTGACTGTGTGCAGTTGTTGGATAAATGTGACGATACCATGGCTTTAAGAGGTGTATTTTGACTTTTTCTTTTAATGAAGAGTTGTTAAGACAGAGGTACCCAGTCTGTTCCAAAGCCAATAAAGTAAACATTTTGTGAGGCCTTGGGTTTATTTTAAAAGTTGGAACAATAGAAGCAGCCTGAATGGGTGAGGTCAAGCTCCCACAGAAACAGGATTCTTTTTCGTTTTAGCTTTGTGTCAGTTGCTGCTGGGGTCTTGAAGCTGGATGTGGAAGCTGTTTTTCCTCTTTTTGTTAACAAAAACCTGGGTTTCTCTTCCTGCTGCTAAATTTTCATGTGAGAAAATCTATTTTTCTGAAATTGCCTTTGCCAAGGGTATGTTTATAAGATGTCACTACATTGGAACAGTTACTGTTTATAGTTAAATCTATTATTCTGTTAAGTTTTCCAGTAAAGTTAAGTTATTCTGATTTCTTCTTTCTTTTGTTGTCTTTTAACTATAGAGTATGAATAAAGTATGTTTTGTCTCACGACTGTTAGTTTGACCAATCGAGTTGCACCCGGAATGCAATGCCTGGCACTTGTCTTTAAATTAAGAAAATGCTAGGGTCTAGGCTATCTTTTTAATATTTTGAGGGGGTTTGGTCTGGTCCATTACAATGAGAAAGTGTAAACTAGTTTATTTCGTAGTCAGTTTAAGCTGAAATCTGCAGTTTAAATGATGGAGTTGTCAAACGTAAGCAGGTTTTGTTCAACAGTTCCAATATACCAGCAGCTAAATTAAATTTAATCCGGCTGAAAGTTGGTCCACATTAAATTAATCAGATAGGCCTTTTATTTTAAGAACATATAAATTCAGCTAGCAAATTCAGTTTAACCTCGGGCAAGAAAGTTTCCATTTAATTTTGCACAAGTCCAGTTTAGTTGTAGTTTGCATTAAAATGAAAAATACAGGTGGTATCAAGAGGATGACCTAAATTCAGGAAACCAGGATGTCAAACAGTTTTGGTAGATGTCAAAAATACTAAAGACAGGAAGACACTTATTGGAGTAGTGTACATACCACCCCCCCCCTCCATCAATAACCACAGGTTAGGGTGAAGCACAAAGGAAGAAATAATGAGCACTTGTCGCAAAGGTGCAGTGATAATTAAAGGAGATCTTAATCTAGTTATAGAATGTTTTCAGGACAGTTTTTTGGAGCAAGAAGTTCTGGAGCCTTCCAGAGAATATGGTGCAATGAGATAAGATTAATTAAGGATCTCAAAGCGAAGGCTCTGCTACATGTAAGCAATCATAATAAGATTGAATTTTACATTCAGTTTGAGGGAGAAAGGAGTGGGTGCAAGATTACAAGGGCACGAAAGTAGAGGTGATTGAATGGCAAATCAACTTAAAGGATAGCTCGATAGAGATGCAATAATAGACATTGAAGGGGACATTTCAGACACTGTTGAAACTCTGTCTGATGTACTATACACAGTACTGGTCACCTTATTTAAGGATGGATGTAAATGTATTGGAGGATATTCAGAGAATATTTAGTAGACTAATAGCTGGAATGAACATGTTCTTTTATGAAGAAAGGTTGGAAGGGCTTGGTCTGCATCTGCTGGGGTTTAGAATATTAAGAGGTGATGTGATTGAAACATGTTAAATCCAAAAGAGCCTTGTCAAGGTAGATATGGAGAAGGTATTTCCTCTTATGGGGGAATGTATAATTAGGTGTCGCTGTTTAAAAGCCAGAGGTAGCTCATTTAAACAGAGAACAGGCAATTTTGATTTTTCCCAGGGGGCCATGGGTCTTTGGGCTGTAAACGAAGTGTTAAAGGGTTATCAGGGTAAGCAGGAATGTGGATTTGAGGTTACAATCAGTTCAGCCATGATGTTCTTGAATGGCAGAAAGCACGAGAGGCTGGATGGCTTATTCTTACTCCTTATTCGTACACTTCTATGTAACTTGTTCTGCATTCTCCCAGCAGAGGGAATAGTTTTCTCCACATCCCGCTCCTCCCCTATCAAATCCATGTATTGGTTAAACACCTCAATCAGGTCACCCCTTAATCCTCTAAACCCGAGGGACTCAAACCAAGGTTATACAAGCTGACTTTGTAGATTAAAGACAATGCCCATGCTGCCAAAATATTTCTGTTATGAGTGCTGTCTGAGAGCAGGTTGGCATACTGTAGGATTCCTGGGCTATTTCCTGATAGGATCCACCTGGAATGGTGCCCCAGTCACATTTTGTTAATTTCCCCATAACGATGAAGAAGTAATCAAATTTTGAATCTTTTCACCTTCCCCCAAGTCTTTTATCGTGTGATTTGATGCCACACAATGAACTTGGATTCTTTATAGGCTAGATGAGAAGACAAACTCAAGACCTTTTTCAAATTTCAAGGTACCATTTTTTGTTCTACATTAATACTAAACACTTATTAGGCAATTACATTAGGTAAGAACTAGTCTATCTTCCTCGTGTTCATGTCCTATCAGTTCTCAGTCTATTATCCTTCTATCATTTGATTACCAGGATGATAGGTGATTTCAATGAACTTTGGTCTTCTCTTGTCGAAAATTTGTTACATTCCTGTTGCATATGATACATCAGAGAGCTTGACTCCTACTTTTTGTGCACTGTTATAATGCTTCTTATCCTGTTTTTTAGGCAGTGGCTTCCAGTAACAATAAAGACCTACAACCGTGGATTAGTGACATCATAAAACACTTCATATACTGCTGCCAACATAGTAATGGTGATGTAAATACCTTGATGGTGCGTGTCACTAGTGTATGGAAATTATTATATTTGGAATTGGAATGAGGGCAGGCTGTGATTCACACAAGGGACGTTGGAATTCAGCGGGGCTCTTTGAATTCAGTACTGTATTCAATCAGATCCCATTTTGACTGTTGAAAGGACGTTTGTCTGCAGTGTGGGAGTCACTAATTGATGGAGGAGATATAAACAGTCTTGAAGGGTGGGTAGGGTTTGCTCAAATGTCATGATATGAATTATTTAAATTCCCAGGTTTTTAAGAAAGAATACTTGCAGGGGTCAGTGGGCTTTGAAACCACTCTGCTTTCTTACTTTGATTGACAGACCAGATGGTCCAGCATTAATTCTATCAGTTTCAATAATTGTTTGTTGACATTTCCCCAAGGACACCTTATGAATGCTTCGCTGTTTCCAAAAGCCGTAGTTATCTCAGTAAAGGGAATAGGGTTTGAGTTCACAATTTGAATGACGTATTAAACAATCTATTAAAGGATTATCTGTCTTTGACATGAGGTAAGAGGCCTTTTAATAGGAAATTAATCACTTCTGAGGTCTAAAAATTGTTTGATGGGCTTTCATGAAGTAAATTTTTTGAAAAACCAAATCTGTCAGGTGATATCTGTGATAGATTTTTAGTTTATCTCCACTTGGCTTCTGAGTGCTACACATGGTGGATACTGAGTGAGGTGGCTAAAAGGGGTGATGTGTGAGGGGTGCAGGCATGACTTGCCGTGAGTTGGTATGGAGGGAATAAGGGGCCATAGAAAGTGAATAAAATGCTTTCCAACTAGCCCACGTCAGTGCTCACGTGGCCCTCCCCAGGGTCACCTATACCCTGTTTCCAGGGCTGCTAGACACTTTAATAATCTTACAAACCTCTAGTGGATCACGGCTCAGCTGAGCTTTGGAATGTTGGGAATCCTGGGATCAGTTGCTTCGTCACTGGTTAGTGCCTTCAGGAGAGAGGAGGGGGTGGGGAGGTACTCATGGTGTCTTTGAAAATCTGAAATGAATGCCTGTTATTAAAGGCTCGCTGGCGCAGCATCCTGCATCACACAGTAAATGTGCATGAGTGGCAGCTTGGAGATGGCTCCACCGCAGCATCTTGTGAGCATGGTCATCTCTCAGACAAGGAAATAAAGGACAAGCAGTGGCTAACAGCAGGTTCACCTGCTCATCATGCTCTTCGTGAAGTGGTCTATGACAAATGGCTCACCTCCCACCTCAACTATTTTGTCCAAGCCAGGTTCGTTTCTTTAATGCCTTTTTAGAGGATGAGCTGAAATCCTTGTGTGTTTGTTCACTATCGAGAACATTGTTCATATTGTTCATTGTTTTAATAACTCTTGCAGAGTAACCAATGAACTGGAGTCATTTAACAACCACATTCAAATGTATGCTGCTCAAAACTTCACATATGAGTAAGTACAAGTCAACAAAATACTCTTAATTTTATATTTATCAGTGAAGTTATGTCGAGATATTTGAAAGAAGCTGGGATTGCTCCGATTGAGTGGAGAATGTAAAGGGGGAGATTTAACTGGTGTTGAAAATTGAGTGTTTTTTTAATAGAGGAAACATTTGCAGGGCTGTTGGGAAAGAGCAGGAATGTGGGGCTGATTGGATAGCTCTTTCAAAGAGCTGGCATTGGCTTGATGGGCTGAATCACCTTCTCCTGTGCTTTAAAGTTCTGTAAATTTGTTGTAACCCTTTGCATCATTCAATAACACAGTAATGAGGAAGCTGGTGATGGAAGTTTGTTTACAGATTTACTGAATGATGATAAATGTTACAAAGGAGCTGAGGATTGGCAAATGCAATTCAATGCAGATAAGTGTGAAGTGTTGCACTTTGGAAAAACAAACAAAGGTAGCACTTATACATCAAATGATAAGGTCCTAAGGAGTGTTGTGGAACAGAGGGACCTAGGAGTACAAGTACATAGTTCGTTAAAAGTGGCGTCACTCGTAGACAGGGTGGTGAAGAAGGCATTTAGCATAGTGGCATTCATCAGTTGAGGCATTGAGTGTAGGAGTTGGGACGTTATGTTACATTTGTGTAAGTCTTTGGTGAGGCCGCACTTGGAGTATTGTGTACAGTTTTGGTCACCCTGTTATAAGAAAGACACAGTTAAACTGGAAAGTGTGCAAAGAAGATTTATGAAGGTGTTGCCAGGACTGGTAGGTCTGAGTTATAGGGAGAGGTTGGCCAGGATAGGACTTTATTCCTTGGAATGTAGGAGAATGAGGTGTGGCCTTATTGAGGTGTATAAAATCATGAGGGGCATAGATAGGATGAATGCATATAGTCTTTTTCCCAGGAATGAGGAATTGAAACTAGAGGGGATAGGTTTAAGGTGAGAGGGAAAAGATTTAAGAAGGACCTGAGGGGCAACTTCTTCACACAGAGAGTGGTGCGTATATGGAATGGGCTGCCAGAGAAAGTGGTTGAGGCAGGGTACAATAGCAACATTTTAAAAACTTTTGTATAGGTACATGGATGGGAAGGGTTTTAGAGAGATATGGACCAAATGTGGGCAATTTGAACTAGCTGAGTGGGCACCGTGGTCAGGATGGACCTGTTTGGGCTGAAGGGCTTGTTTTGATGCTGTATTACTCTACACTCTGACTCTCTATGTGTACGTGCTAGTACATAAGAGCAAGCCAGCTACATTTACAACGTCACAGAAGTATGTTGCGTAACGTTGGGTATAGCAAATCAATTTGAATTAAGACATATTCAGATGTGACAAGTATTTTTCTCAGAGTAGAATCCTATAAATGACAATGAGGTGAATGACCACTGCATGAGCTGTAGCAAGTGGCTTGCTGTAGATTTGTCTCTATAACTCTGATAATCTACAATTTGTATAGGTTAACAGCTCCCTGTAAGTCAGTAGCTGCTCCTCTAGGTTTAAAGAAAAACAGCAAGAAATGAGAGGCATTCTTTCTTTAACTAAGACTTTTAGATTTATCCTGTTGAAGTTTTTAAAAATTTGTTCACAGCATGTGGATGTATTTATTACCCATCCCTAATTGCCCTCAAAATGAGTGGTTTGCTGGGCCATTTCAGAGGACAGTTAAGAGACAACCAGATTGCTGTGGGTCTGGAGTCACATGTCGGTCAGACTGGATATGGACAGCAGATTTCTCTCATAAAGGCCATTAGTGAACCAGATGATTACAATAATTGATGATAGTTTCATGGTCACCGTCACTGAGACTATCTTCATATTCCAGATATATTAATTGAATTTAAATTCTACTAGCTGCCATTACAGAATTTGAACTGGTGTCCACAGAGCATCAACGTTAGTCCGAGTGTTGCTAGCCTAGTGGTTACCACTGCACCCCGCTTCTCACTTTGCAAAGAGGTTTTAAAAATGAATGTTTTCACTTAATCATGAATTGGTGTTGTATGCAACCAGAAGTGTTCCATGCCAACATACCTTCTCTATTCTAAGTCAGCTAGTTCATTGTTTCATTGGTTTTCTCCTGTAGCTATGAGGATTACCAAGTGCGTACCTTGCTGGCAGCAATTGATTATAATGCACATGTTGATCGTGAATACCAACGTAATGCTGATGGTGAAATTGTGTAAGTAGGTAATAAATAAGGAGGGGGGAAACTGGGTACACCCAGTGCAATCCAGTTGTGTTCTTTAGTCTATTCATCCAAGCTGTTATTGAAACTGTTGATTCATGGTGTACTTCACTGCAGTCCGTGTGGTATAGGGGCACCCACAATGCCTTTCAGGGATGGTGTTCCAACAGTTTGACCCACCAACACTATAGGAATGATTATATATTTCCAAGACTGAATGGTGTGTGACTTGGAGGGGAATTTGCAGGTAATGGTATTTCTCGTCCTACTAGGTGGTAGAGTTCTTGGGTTTGGAAAGTGTTGTCACAGGGGCCTGTGTGAGTTTCTGCAGTGCACCTTGTAGATGGCACACACTGCTGCTACTGAGTGTCAGTGGTGAAGGGCCTAAATGTTAAAGATGGTAGATGTGGTGCCAGTCAAGCAGGCTGCTTTGTCCTGAACGGTGTCAAGCTTCTTGAGTGTTGTTGGCGCTGCACCCATCTGAGCAAATGGAGTGTATTCCATCACACTGCTGACTCTGTGCTTTGTAGATGGCAAACAGGTACTGGTGGGATAGGAGGTGGGCTATTCACTGCAGGATTCCCACACTCTCACATGGCTGGTCCAGTTGAGTTTCTGCTCAGCGGTAGTTCCCAGGATGTTGATAGTGGGTGATTCAGTGATGGTAATGCCATTGAATGTCAAAGGGAGAAGGTTAGATCCTTTCCTCTTGGAAATGATAATTGCCTGGCTCTTGTCTGGTGCAAATATTACCGACCATAGCTGTCTCTGGTCGGTGGTCAGCACCTTCATTAATTGATTAATGAAACAACAGGTTCCCCCCTGTTTATGGGCAGTGTCAAAGGGCACTCTGTCTGTTGTCTAAATGCCTCTTTCTTTCTTTCAGATATCATAGAATATTCTCAAAACGCCGCAACCACTGGAGAACTGCTCCCGCAAAGGTCCAGAAACAGTACCACCACTTTGAGACTCTGAGAGAGGACATGGTGAAAGCAGTACGATCAAAGGATGCTGACCGACAACTGCCCAGGGGATCAGGAACAAGAGGCAGGAGGGTTCCAACCTAGCTAAACAGATCAATTTACCAAAGATCAAATGAAGATTAGCAGAAGAATGTTGATGTAAAGGAAAGAGAAGTGTCTATGCTTGATATTTTGATTTTTGTACTATTTATATGAAAGGTTTTATTTATTATAACATTAAATATACAGACCGCGTTGCAATACAGAGCCCTCAAACTTACTAGGCCCACCTGCCATTTGTGAATGCCTTCTTTTGAGCTTCTGGTTGCCACAGCCTAATGTTTTACCTGTAGGTATCTCAGAAAGGAGTGTGAGAGTTCCACAAATCATTAAGGGCAGTGTTTTGTGAGGCCAGTGCCATGGAGAGTATGGTGACAGGGTGCAGCATTGTTGTGAAAATGTGAGAGATCCATCATTGACATTGACTGTCTCTGCACCAGCTACAGTCCTTCCACAGTTCTCTTCCTTGATTCTGTTCTTCAGTTGCACTAATTATTTCCCCTTTTCACATTTCCTATGTTGATGTATTTAGGAAATGCACAGTGCAGCTAAATGGGACAGATTGAGGTGGATACAATAGAGTCGTAATGATTCTTGTAGCCGTAAGGCCACTAAAGCCAGGACGCTCATAGTGATCACAAATGGACAGCATGATTCTGTCAATGATCCACAATCCCGTTGCGGTACTGGGATGTAATCTTGTTCCTATTTACAATTCCACCTAATGTTGGAGGAATTGGGAGCTTTTACAAGCAACATATATATCTTACAATAGTCTTTACCAGAGATGAGGCAAGTTATAAACATCAGAAAAGAGGTGAAAGCAAATGTGTAAAAAGAAATCCTCTCTGGGATTGCTACACTTTAGCCACAGTGTGTGAGACACAAGTTAGCAGCTTGCTCATTGTGTGAAGTACAGCTGCTTACAGCCAGTACTTGGTATCCTGTGACAATGTTTGATAGTCAACAGCAACACTATATTGACTTTTTATCAAAATAGTAAGTACATTTAAAGCACTATAGTCATGATATTCTAAAATTTCTTAATGAGGCCAAACCATCACAAGAGTTTCTTGTATATTGTATTTGGTCCTCTGCAGGTTTAAGATTTCTCATGCTGGGTAATGGAACACAGGTTAAGTCAGGTATTTCACAGTTAATGCTGAGTAAAGTTGCCTCCATATTGGCCAACAATGTGCCTCAGCCATCAGCCTCAGGATATCAGCTTCTCCTACATCGTAGGAGTTTAGCATGCAGATGTGATTTGGCCCTTCCAATTCTTTGCAGCCTTTATCCTCCACATGATCAAACAGACCACAATTTCATTTAACCACCATCTTCCCATTGCTTTTCAATTCCTTCTCCTTCATTGCCCTCCTGTTTAGTCCAGTCTTTGATGTTAACAGTGGTTTGGCCTCAGTTGTTGACTGTTAGAGTGAATCCCAGAGTTCAGAATGCCTTATATCAGGGACTCTCTCCTACTCTCTTTCTAAATCTCTGATAATTAGTCTTGTGCCTTTGGTCTAATGTTGTGGATCTCTCGACCAGCATCACTGAAAACTGTCCTGTCATTGGTCTTATTGCAGTTAGTGGGATCTCTTGGTGCACAGATTTGCTGCTGTATTTCCTATTTTACAACATTGATTATCAAAGAGTACTTTACTTTCCATCAAACTTTGGGACGTCTCGAAGTGGTGAATATACTATAAAAACACAAGTTTTTCATTCAGAGTGTGGTTAATTTCTGTCATTTTCTAATGGACCAGTAGGTGTCACCAAACTCCCAGTTGCATTTGTGTGTCCACTTAAATTACCGGGACAACAAATATCAGTTCTCCGCTTCTTCCTGTCCCGCAGGCCCAACCAGTCCCCCTCCACTGACACCCTCATCCGCTCAGCCGAACTCGTCCTCACACTCAACAACTTCTCTTTCAATTCCTCCCACTTCCTACAGACAAAGGGGGTAGCCATGGGTACCCGCATGGGCCCAAGCTACGCCTGCCTCTTTGTAGGTTACGTGGAACAATCCCTCTTC